CAGTAGTCGTAATTCAAGCCCGTAATTGTCTTGATATATTTTTGCAATAAAAAAATATGTTAACTATCCAAACTAATACTTACTATTGACTGAATAGTTACCGGATGGCATTTAAATCGTTTAACTTTTCAAATAAATATCGTTTCAATAATGATCAATGCTGCTCGCAATGCATGTGATACCTAAATTCAAACGCATTCAAAAAAATGATAGCAGACAAATGTCACTTTTTTCGTTATTTACACTATTTGCTATAATATTGCAGCTATATGATAATGAAGATTTTACATTTAAATATTTTATTTTGGATTTTATTTCGTTTTATACAAAACATTTTTTTTTTTTTAAATATATGTTTGAGTAATTAGTAACCACACTTTCTCTCCTAGTCTCATATCAATTTCTTTTAAATATATGCGTTTCTTTTATTATCTTATATTATACGATAATAACCACAATCAAATACAATATTTATAAAACGACTAAGACTAAAAAAATATGTTTAATTTTATTTTATTTTTATTCAACATTTAGAAGTCTTTGATTTCCGGAGTGAGACCGACGGATCTGCCCAAAGATAATTATATTAATTAATATTGATTTAAAAAATAAATCAAAATGAAATTCAATTTATCAATTATTTTATAATTATAAAAAAAATCATAAAATGAGAAACCTTTTGAGGGCTTAGATATTTTAGAGCTTAAATAACTCCTCCCTTAGTCCCTCCTACATAAAAATATCTATAATAATGACGTAAACTATGAGGCGAGGAAATTTTATTTTAAAGTGTTTCAAATTAGATTGAATCAATATTCGTTGTAATAAACTTGTCAGCAAAGTTTTAACGATGATGCCCCTAAGAAAAATATAATTCTTATCTCATGTATCATAGTATTTTGTACTAGTTGTTCTCTTTGATACGAGTCAAAATAAAAAACAAAAACACGGACGGTATAATATAATAGATGAAAATAATATTTTAAGAACAAGAGAGAGTTGCCTCTAGGCCACTATCAAGTTTCGACCAGGTAATAGAAATGAAACCATCTACTCAAAAATTTCTGAGAAAATAAAGATGATTTTCGAAAGCTTTAACGAGGGGCAGATAGATAGATAGATAAAGAAAGAGAAAAAGAATCTGACCACAATAAATAAGAACAATTTACTTATTATGTAAAACATGAACCGACTACATGGACTGTGGAAATTTAAATAAAATAATACAACAGATTGGAGGCCTTAATTATTATGGTCATACGGAAATATTACTATTACGTTGTGTAAACGGCAAAATGTCATCGCTTAGAAAAAGGTTAAGGGGTGGAGTACGTACACGCGTAAACGCTATTAACGGAAACTCGAAGAAAACTTTATTCGAGCGTGATTTTTACGATTATATTAATGTTTCGTTTTCTGTGAATAATATATAATATATAAAAATCAAAAACAAACGACTTGTACACACGCCGTTACAATGGCTAGCCCTACAGCAACAAATTCGTACGAACATTATATTTTACGTGGTTGTAATAATAATATTTAGTCGAAAGACCTTACAGTTTATTTACAATTACGTAGAATGCTATACTACAAAATACAATAATAATATATATGTTAAGTACGCGTAAGTTATATGTATATATATATTCTGTCATTGGCTAAATTTTATTTCAGCAAGCGCAAAACTTGAATTTTCAATAATCACAAGGAAAAATTACTTAAGTTATATTAAAAACCGCTCGATTTACTTGCTTGCACTATATTTATTATATTCAATCTAAAACTATTTTCAACATTTCCTGTATATTTTAAACGTTCATAGCATTTACAATATTAATGTTAAAAAATATCATCTACGACTATGACACGACCATAATTTATACGTGAATACGTGATAATATAATTATTACATAACGTTATTTTATTATCTCCTTAATTGTGTACTTATATTTTATTAAAATAAATCGACAAAACAACAAAAAGGATCATATTTTGATAGGATTAAAGTTCAGCTTTAGCAAGTGTAAAACCATATTATCTTTACACGCGTTACCAAATACCAGAGAGTATAACTGTACAAGCAAACCATCACTTTCTTCATATACTCGTAAAAATTAATTTGATTTTCCCATAGAATTTTTTTTATATGTGGGATGAAAAACTTATAAAGAACGTTTTATTCAATTTTCAAATTTTAGGAATAAAAACGAAACTTTTTGTGTATTTCTAACCACAAAATAACTGGCATTTTTCGAGGTATTCACGAATTTTGACGAAATCATAAATTTAAATACTTCTAGAAAAATATTGTGAGAATATATTTTCGATATCTTTAATTTGTAAATGGATAACTTATTAATAGTAACCTCTTATTAAAATCAAGCAATCTTACCCATTCATACATTTTTCATTGACATTTATGACAAATATATATATATATATATATATTATTACAGTTATATAATTATCTTTAAATAACTCAAAAAAGTCAAGATGTTATAAAAATTATACTATGTATGTATGAAATTATAATATAAATATTTAAAGTTTTTTTGGTTATTCGTTTTTGAATCATAATACAATAAAGAAATCGTTTTAGTCAAAATCTAGTTGAGTATAAAAATTTTTGTTTTTCATTAACTTTTGTTTGTTTTTCTCTATTAAAAAAAAAAAAAAAATACTGTGAATTTTTAACTTAGATCTTTTTAAAATAAAAAAAAAACTAGATTTAATTTTCTATCTAAAAACATCCTAAAATTTTAAAGTCGATACATTTTATCAACAACATGTCATGTACTTATACACATAAAAAACATACATTATTGTAAAATCAATACATTTACCGTTCTTCTCTGAATTTAAAACATGTTAGACTTCTATCATTAATCTAAAATGAAGAACTGTGTGAGGATTATCTTGTCTGTGTGGACATATGAAGTCTGCATCACTGTAGTTTTGTTTCAACAATATTTTATAAATGATCATAAAACTTAAACTCTGCGTTTAGATGCATACAAACCGTGATTATCAGGATTTCTAAAACGAATTATGCCATTAATATTAAATTGTAGTTTAAATAGTTACTAAAATGATCTAGCTTAGAAATCTAAGAGGTAATATTATATACATAATCGTTATAGTATTAATACTGTGGTTGGAAGTGAACAATGAAAAGGAACTCGCTCAAGATAACGATGGATATAGACAAATGGTTGTTGTTGCAATGGACCTAAATGGTCCGTAAAAACCTTAGGTTTACTAAAAAAAAAGTAATATGTAACATTGAGTTCAATCCTATAATACACACATCTCATCATCATCGTTTTTATCCCAACAGTTAAATTGAATTTATTTTAATTCAACACTTTTTAAGTCATAATAAAAAATATTTTATACTAACATATTTATAAAATAACAATAAACAATATATTTAAATATATAGTGTCACATTTCAAGGTTTGTTATATGTATGAGTTATAGATAAATAACAGATAGCACCTCGACATACTAATATATAAATAATATATAATTTTCGGGTTACGTAAAAAATGTTTTAATCTAGTGGTTCACAAAAAAATGTAACAAATCAATCGTGAGTCACTGAAGCAATAGAATAGACCATTATGTTACTATTGATTCATTGTATGTTTAGTGATTGTTTATGAAACCAGATGGTATATAATGCATAACTATAAACTTTTAGATTAGTTGGATTATGGGTTGTGGTATTACCAACAATCCGGTATATACAGGGTGTTACACGATGAACTGACAATTGCAATTACTTTGGTTCTACTGAACATTTTCAACTTTTTTTTTTTAATTGTCAATTGTCGTCTGCGCTACATTTAAAATATTTTTCGATTTTTTTAAACATTTTTTATGTAAAATTTTAAAATTTAAAAAATTTATTATTTGATATTTGAAAAATTCAAAATAGCCATCTTGTTGATATGATTTATAAAATATGTTTGCAAAATTTTTTGATCCAACTTAGGTATTTTCTATTTCGATTTTTTATTTCGATAATTGCTCGTATGATAAGATTCGATGGCCTATCCATTTTTTTATTATCTATGATTGTAATACCGCTGTATAGGGCTTAGTATCATATTTGTTGATTATTCGTGATAACAAATTTCGTTATTTCTTGGAAAAAAATAATTCAAAATCGATAATATTGCTGTAACACTGATTAACAGGAAATAAATTTGAATTTAAACAAATTTTAAAAATTGTTTAAAAATTATTGACTGGACCATATTGAAAGTTTTTGACACCGAAATTTTTCTAAAAATCGAATTTACAAAATAGCTATCTTGATTTTTTTTAAAAGACAAATAAAAATTATTTTAATTTTTAATTTTACATAAATAATATTAAAAAAAAAATCGAAAAATATTTTAAATGTAGCGCAGACGACAATAAAATTGACAATTAAAAAAAAAAAAAGTTGAAAATGTACAGTAGAACCAAAGTAATTGCAATTGTCAGTTCATCGTGAAACACCCTGTATATAAATAAATCTGAAATAGTACCTATAGTCGAAAATAAAAATAGAACCTTTTTTATTTTGGCGGAAACGACTGTGGATAAAATAAAAATAAATCAAGATTATGACATTAACAGCGCATGGTCTAAGTATATAAATTACTATATAAAATTAGTGCAACTAAATATTTATTCAAAAATAATGAGTTTTCTTTAAATAAAATTAAATATTATTATAATATTTTATTTTTAAAACAAAGTTAGTTTTAAGAATATACATAAAAAACACTTTGGGCATTCTATGAAATATTTATATTTGTTACTTGTTAGATTTATAAATTATGGATTATCAACAGGTGTTTATATTTTTTGCGTATGTTGTGTAAAAACTTGCCAATCTAAAATATACGAATTTTTCACGATTAACTCATTAGATTCTATTTATTATAATGATAAATGTATGTTGACAAATAATTATTATAATCCAGAATTTATTTTTATTTTAGGAAAATTACTTTGCACTTGAAAAAAAAAATTGGAATATTTATTGGCTACGGACATCTACAGACTTAAATTTGAAAAGTAAGTACCAAGATTTTTAAATAATGAAGTAATATTTTTATTTATTTATACAACCATATTTACAAATTTATGATTAATAATATAAGCCCGTCGGATTTAAATGCATGATTTATTAATTGGATTAGGAGGGACTTAACTGCTTACATGCAATATATTTTAAAAGATTGATAGCTTTTAAAATTCTTAAAAATTAATTTTTTAACCAATTATTTGATATAATATAGTACTAAAATTTCACTTGATTTGTTTAAGCTAAGTACATAAAATATAGCAACAAATAAGCAATACTTGTTATTTTGAAATAAAAAATCAACCACCTAATAAAAAATTACAAATTAATTTTAGTGTTTACCTAATTCCGATTTATTACAGCGCGTTAGTCAATATTGTTAGTTTAGGTTAGAATACTATTACGTAAATTATTTGCTGTTCATCACCTAATGATGTATTTAATTAAGTAATTTATGTACGAAACATAGAAGTTGTTTTGAGTTTCTGCCAAGATGTAAATTAATTATTGAACCATTTTAACTTGGAGTCTAATATAATCAAACGTAAACCTGTAATCATAGTTTATGAATTATATTAAAAATACGACGAAACACTTTAAAATGTCAATATGTATTGTATTTAAAATATGTATTAAATGTGTTTTGAAAAATTTTACTTGTTGCATCTGTTTAATAATTTTCATATAATTCATTAATATGTATATTTTAAACCCGGGGTACATTAAATTATTTATTATTAATAGCTACTAATAATTACTTGTATGAGAAACAAGCATTCAAAGTCCTATGGAGACAGTAGAGCCCACTATTAAAATAAATCATGGTTTATAATCTCACTTTCAATAATTCCATAATTATTTTCAAAATAAATATAACCATAAATATATACATAACATAATTTTGAATAAGCGCGAGTGCCTTAAATCAAGTATATATATACTGTTCAGATTTATAGCCTTTGCATAAAATATGTTTAATTTGTTCAAAAAAAAAAAAAATAAATAAATAAATAAAATAACACCTACCTTTAACATTTTTAGTATATTTTTAAAACTTATTCTATAATCAATAATTATGATACATTATTGAATCAAAATTGTTTTAGAACATTGAGTAGAATATTGAGCCTGGGCATGTACTAATAACGTTATTTTGTTAGCTACATGTTTTATTTTTTAATAATATTTTCCTAAGTTAATGTGAATTTTAGATTTTAAGCAGAATGATACAATGGTGTATTATAATATTTTTTTTTTTATATTTTATCTCCTTAAATTAGATATAATTAATTTACTTTTACATAATGGATATTGTGTTAAATTAGAATTCAATAGTATATCATTATAAACGATAAAATACGTGATTTTTAGCGGAGATGATCTAACTTTTTAAGAATCCAGATTACTAAACAGTTATTTTATTTATAATATTGACATTTTAATGAATGTTTATATTTTTTTTCACTATTATTTTAAAAAGTACTGATAGTTTTCAATTTTAACTTCTTAAAAGTACCAACTAAATTCAATTTTCTACTAGAAATTTTGAAAAAGTGATGATCAGAGTGTTTTTTTTCTATTAAATATGTCTTCAAACCAAAAATAAAATTAAAAATACGTATCACTGTTGAATAGTGATGTACAGGAATTTTTATGAAAAATCAAACATTGTTTTTTTTTTTTTTTTGTAATTTAAAATTTAATTCTTCGTGGCTTAACAAGTTACATGATGAAATAATTATTCAAAAGTATCGAGGGACAATTTTTCAACAACAATGTTTGACAATCGAGTTAGTTGTCAAATTTAAAATATTTTTTATACTTTTTAAGTAAATATTATATAATATATTTATAAAAAATATGAAATAAAATATGCCAACGGCACGCAGTGTTCCCAAGCGATCACCCATCCAAGCACTAAATACGCCCGACGTTGCCAACTTCAGTGATCGGATGAGAACTGGTGTCTTCAACATTGTTTCGTCGTTGGCGAAGAAATTATAGAAAATTATTTTATTTAAGAAAATTAATACTCTTGTCAAATGTATGCGTACTTATTGTATACTTGTGTCCTTTAGTAATGTAGGTACTAATATAGTGTGATAATTCATTAAAGCTAGGATTAATACGAAATAGTATGTTTTTTTAGTAATTTACTATTATTAATTTTGTCAGTAATGTCTAAGAATCACCTCATGATGAGGTTAATTGTGGAATTTTTTATTTTGCATATTTTAATTATAAAAACACGAAAAATTCATATTTGATGGTATATTTTGTTACTAAACGTTTTTGTCATGTGACAGCATCCATTGACACTGTTCAAAAATACAATTTTAGATAATGAATAAAATGAATAACATGAATAATAAAATTTGTATCCTTATAATTGTATTTATTTTTATGTGGTTAAAGAAAAATCAAAATCTATAGACTAATAATTTATATTGATGTAAATAATTATCATAATATTATATTTTATAATAGGTAAATAATGTTTTATTATGAATCAGTACAAGTATATATGTTATTATATAATTACAACAAACTTGTAAGTTTTATTAGTTGTAAAGCATTAAAATGTAGTTTAATATATAGTGAAACCTCAAAAAGTCGAAAATCTTGATAAGTTGAAATAAATTTCGTTCCCTTGCGAAAACCTTAATTATTTGAAAAACAAACTATAAATAACCCGAACATTCCGCGTTCCGAATAAAAACATTAATTATTGATGGTTTTTACAATAATTACATTTTATTTTTATTTGCCTAATTGGCTTGTGTTGATAATTTAATCTTATCGCTTTTATTTTGTTTGTTATCTTGATGTGTTTTTATTTTATTTTCACTTTGTACGTTCAGTGTTGTCAATTGCAATCGAATTATGTGTGTGCGTGTGCTGCGTGTGTTTACGTTTAATAAAAATGAAAAAAATGCCTCCTAAATTAAAAACACTTACTATTGGAGAAAAACAAAAGGTACTAAAAGCAGTGGAAATTGGAAGAAAGAATAAAGATATTACTAAAGAATTTGGAATACCAGCAAGCACATTATCTACTATAATAAAAATAGTTAGAAAATTGAATTGAACTTTTCTACAGATCGGCAGAGGAAGAGAGACCCTACATTTTCAGACATAGAAGAAAGTGTAGTTCAGTTGCTTAAGCAATGCAGAAACGCCAATGTCAGTATTGACGTTCCTATTGTAAAAGGAAAAGCAAAAAATTTCGCAAAATCATTAGGCCACAAAAATTTTAAAGCCAGTAACGGTTGACTTGAAAATTTAAAAAAAACGGTATGATATTACTTTTAGAAAAGTGTGCGGTAAAAATGCAGCGGCCAGTGATGACGTTGTCAATGAATGAAAAATAAATTTAAGTAACTGGAGGGATATAAGCTATACGATGTATTCAATGTAGACGAAACAGTACGTTTTTATAAATGTATGTCAAATAAGACTTAAGCATTTAAAAAAAAAAATGAGAAAAGTACTGGTAATAAGCATAGCAAGGAACTACTCACACTACATTATTGGCTGTAAACATGACTGGTACGGTTAATCTGTAACTTTTATTAATTGGAAAGTCGAAAAACCTAGATGTTTTTCTGGTGTTAAATCTTTTCTAAATGAATACACAACAAAAGCATGGCTGACTAGTGAAATATTTTTCGAATGGCTATTACGAATTGACAACCAAATGAAAACACAAAAACGCCAAATTGTATTGCTTATAGACAATTATCCAGCTCACAATATTATACCGAATTGTGAAGCTGCTGTAACAATTACATTTCTGCCGCCAAATACAACTTCGAAATCCCAACCTTTGAATCAAGAAATTATAAAAACGTTCAAAATTATTTATAGAAGGGAAATTGTTGGGAAAATTATAAGTGATACGAGTATTAATGAAAAAAAATCTATTTCAATCGATGTACTTCAAGCTATTATGCGAATTATTGATAACACATAGAGAAACGTAACAACGACAACGATTGTGCACTGCTTTAGATCATGTGAATTTTTACTCGGAACTAAGGAAAACACGTCAATACCATTACGGATAGAGAATGAGTTCTAATAACAAGTTATTATGGGATCACGGAAGAATCATTTGAAAATTTTGTTGAAATCAACGAAGAAGTGGCCGTTTTTAGTATTTTTATAGCTAGAGTGCTAGATGATTACATAATTGACTCTGTTTTGTAACACTGAAAATATTCATGACATTGACTAAAAATCATTTGAACCAGTACTTCATATTTCAGTAAAACAAGCAAAATCTCCTCTCGCATTGCTTTATGGACATTTACCGAACATTCTAGTGATGTGGATTATAAAGTATATTCTGCTTTAAATGTAGTAGAAAATACTATTGTCAATATTATGAACTTAACTCAAAGTAATATCTTAAATTATTTTTTTTTTTAATTGTAATAAAAATACAATACGATAATAAATTTAAAAAACTCAAGAATTTTTTTTCTGAAACCTTGATAACTCAAAAGCCTTAATAAGTTGAAAGCCTTGATAATTCGAAGAAAATTGCATTTCTTTTAAATTTTGATTTATTGAGTATCCACTATATATTATTTTTTTTATTCATAGGCAGATAGTATACTGCAGGTATGTAATAATAATTGATAAGTGTTGAATTCCGTTGCATTGATGTAACAATTTTTTTGGTGATGGCATTATCTATAGTCACTGTTACAGTTATACTTATAAGAGTATAGAGAAGATAATAGCCGTTCCTTACTCCACTTTATTGTAATGTCATATTAGACGTTGTAAAGACAAAAAAAATGAAAACATTGTAAATTGGAAAAAAAAAATATTTATAGATACAGTGAGTTAATGAAATATTTAATACTGGATCTTTTCAATCGTTGAAACGTTTTCTGCTATTTATAGGGTTTAGTAAATAAAAAGTTTGTTCTCAAAAAAGAAATCTCCACTATTTGAAGATGTAAGCTATATTTTAGAATAT